TAGGGCTCAGCACCCTGCCAGGGTCTCTGGTTGCACCCAGCGTCACCCTGTGCTGGGGTGGGGGGGGGTTGGCACAGGCACCCCTGCGCTACCACCATCCCCGGTGTCACCAGCGTCCCCAGGACGTGCCCTGGGGCCCCCAGGCCATGCCCAACAGTCCCAGTAGGTTTCCCAGGGTCCCCAGGACGTTGCCTGGTGTCACCGGGACATGGCCCAGGATGTGGCCCGGTGTCCCCGCAGTTTCCCCGTGTCCCCACTGTGCGCCCCAGCATCTCTAGGCCTTTTCCCCACTGCCCCGGGATGGGTCCCCCGGCTGGACCCCAGCGTGCCAGAGCCGTCCCCCACTGGTACCACACTGTCCCCATGCTGTCCCCCACTGTCTCAGGCCGTCCTCCACTGTCCCCATGCTGTCCCTTACCGCCCCAGGCTGTACCACACTGTCCCCATGCTGTCCCCCACTGTCTCAGGCCGTCCTCCACTGTCCCCATGCTGTCCCTTACCGCCCCAGGCTGTACCACACTGTCCCCATGCTGTCCCCCACTGTCTCAGGCCGTCCTCCACTGTCCCCATGCTGTCCCTTACCGCCCCAGGCTGTACCACACTGTCCCCATGCTGTCCCCCACTGTCTCAGGCCGTCCTCCACTGTCCCCATGCTGTCCCTTACCGCCCCAGGCTGTACCACACTGTCCCCATGCTGTCCCCCACTGTCTCAGGCCGTCCTCCACTGTCCCCATGCTGTCCCTTACCGCCCCAGGCTGTACCACACTGTCCCCATGCTGTCCCCCACTGTCTCAGGCCGTCCTCCACTGTCCCATGCTGTCCCTTACCGCCCCAGGCTGTACCACACTGTCCCCATGCTGTCCCCCACTGTCTCAGGCCGTCCTCCACTGTCCCATGCTGTCCCTTACCGCCCCAGGCTGTACCACACTGTCCCCATGCTGTCCCCCACTGTCTCAGGCCGTCCTCCACTGTCCCATGCTGTCCCTTACCGCCCCAGGCTGTACCACACTGTCCCCATGCTGTCCCCCACTGTCTCAGGCCATCCTCCACTGTCCCCATGCTGTCCCTTACCGCCCCAGGCTGTACCACACTGTCCCCGTGCTGTCCCCTACTGTCCCCATGCTGTCCCCCACTGTCTCAGGCCATCCTCCACTGTCCCCATGCTGTCCCTTACCGCCCCAGGCTGCACCCCACTGTCCCCAGGCTGTCTCCCCTTACTTTGTCCCCCTCTGTCCCAGGATATCCTCCTCTGTCCCATGCTGTCCCCCAATATCCTTATGCAGTCCCCACTGTCCCCCTCTGTCCCATGCTGCCCCTCACTGTCCTTATGCCATCCCCTCTGTCCCAGGCTGCCCCCCACTGTCCCCCCACTGTCCCCATGCTGTCCCTGCTGTCCCTGCTGTCCCAGGCTGCCCCCCACTGTCCTCACACTGTCCCCTACTGCCCTGTACTGTCTCCCACTATTCTTATGCTGTCCCCTAGTGTCCCACACTGTCCCCCACTGCCATCGTGCTGTCCCACGCCGTCCCCTACTACTCTTACGCTGTCCCCCCCCCCA